AGTAATCTTCACCACATCTTTCTCTCACTCTCCACCACATCTTTCTAATACCCCTTTATTTGTCGGAGTGTCCTTCCAGATTAACTTGGCAAGGCAATTATTAGGAAGCCTATCAACATCTGGTTAAGAGTTGATCTCTTGGACTACATTGCTAGCCCTACATATTTGTTTGACCTCTGCATTTGTTTTCATTCGGTATCGTATAATTCGGATCGTGATAGAGTCCGAAAATCGTTTTGAGGATTTTCTTTGCTTTTGTCAGCGTATACGTCTCATACCCTACAGGAGTAGCGGTCTTATCAGTGTCTTATATATCCTGATTTTTTATGTTCGTGTTAAGCTCTTGAATTTAATAGTGTTGTGGGGATACACATACGTCTGTTTCCTTGGGTTTTTGCCTTCATTTGCCTCTATTTGCTTTTAGATCTAATTTGTTGACAGTTTTCTTTACAAAAGTGACGGTGTTTCCAACAATGTTTACGTCACCCGCGTTTGACAGTAGCAATTTTGCTCCATTTACTGTCAGTAGCTCTGTTCTAATTTATGCTTACTGCTTTTTCCAGGATTATATTAAAGAGAAAAGATGACAGTCTGTCTCCTTGTTTTAGGCGGCTATTTATTTCAAATGATTCTGATAGTTTGTTGCCTATCCGTAATATTGATCTACAGCCATTTGAACATAATTTAACGAGCTGGATAAGATTTTATCAAACTGAAAGTTCTGCCTTTGCATTCAACATGGATAGTTCTATTTAATTTTAATTTTTTTCAGCTGTTTTAGAATAAAATTCTGATCTATGGTCGATCTATGTTTTCTAAATTCAGCTTGGTATTTCTCAATAAAATTTTCTACGAAAGGTGTTAGTGTTTTTAATAGGATGCTAGATAGGATTTTAATGTATTAAGTAGGGACATGTTTCTAAAATTAGAGCACTTGGATTTGTCTCCCATTTTATGGAGAGAGATTACAATTTCGTTCCAATTTGTTGTTATTTTTTCTTTGTTACATATAAGTGTTAATATTTTCTAGTACGTTCCATATTAGTTTGTATAATTGTCTACGTAAGTAAGTTTTTCCTTTGTTGTACTTAAGAAATTTGGCCAAGATATTGTCGGAGCCTGGAGCTTTTGCGTTCTTCAATTCGTTAATTGGTTTTAATTGTTTCATCTATTTGTGGGCTCCCTACCGGAAGGTTCTCTCCAAGGTATATATTCTCTCCGTGTTCTTCCTCTTGATGTATTTTTGGAACAGCTTTTCTTTGTGGATTATTTTTAACCTTTATTTTTCCAAAGGATTTCATATTGACACGTAATTACGTCTGAAGCATAACATCTATAGTTTTCTTTACTACCTGTTCTTTCTTGGCATTATTAAAAAATGTTTTTGTTGTGTCTTGCTTTTCCTATTATTAGCTCTGCTATCGCTGTAATTAATTTTTTCATTTGTTGCCACAGCCTTTGGATATAATTGTTCTGCTGATCTACTATATTTAGATGTTGTTTCATTTTCTGTACGTATAGTCTAGGTATCTTACATTTATCCTGTTTCTACCAATCTATTCATTACCTCACAGTATTTGAGGATTTTTTATTTGTTTTCTTTAGTCATATTTTCAACGGTCCATCTCCAAAACAGACGCAAATCTTCTGCTCGTCTTCGAAAGGAAGATACTAAGAAGAATAATGGGCGCATTCTGTGAGAATGGTATTTGGAGAAGGCGATATAATTTCGAATTGTACGAGAAGTATAAAAAAATAGTAAATGGTAGAGATGTAATATCCTTCATAAAAATAGGTAGGCTTAGATGGGCTGGACATGTGTCAAGAGCAAATGAAAATTACCCACCCAGACGAACTCTGTTAGCGGTCCCAGTGGGAAATAGGAGTAGAGGCAGACCACGACTGAGATGGAGGGACGGTGTGGACGAGGACGCTAGGAAAATCGGCGCGGCAAATGGGCAACGGTTGGCGATGAACAGAAACGACTGGCGAAATAGACTGGGGAAGGTCAAGGCTCAACTAGAGCTGTAGCACCACTGATGATGATGATATTTTCAACGGTCAGAGATAGTATGGTTCGTTTGAGGAAAATTTTTAATTTGATCTTGATATATATCCTGTTCATCAATTTTTATGAAGAATACTTCATTCTTTTCATCTAATATATCTTTACATTTCTTATTTAGCTTGAAGATTCCTCTTCTTATTGCGCCGTCTCCTTTCAAAGGTTGGCAATCCAAATGGCAATTGTAGCTTTTGAAAGCGCTGGTCGAAAGAATTCTGCGGATGAGCCGACAAACCATCTCCTCGGATCTTTTCTCCATAAGTTCTGGCATCTTCTTACTGATCCTCCTATGATTCTAAGTAATTTAGATCTTTCACCTCTTAATTTTACTTTCTTTGATTATATTTAATAATTTTTTAAAGATTAATGAAAAGGGCAGTAACATAATAGAAACTGTGTTTTGAAAAAAGTGATAAGAGGCAAAAATTTTTTTAAAATAATGTGTTAAACTAATGATGCCACAAAATTCATTTGGTTTGAACGTACTCAAAAGTTTGGGGGAATTTAGAGCTGCACACCTCTCTTAAATTTTTTCTGTGTGCTTAGATTTTGTTGTTTTTTTTTATGAAAAATTCTTTCAGAATAAGAAAGCAACGTGTCATACCTTTTTGAACACCCTGTATAATTTAAGGCAGTTAACTAGCCTTTGAAAAGACTAAAATAAATTAATGATTTAATTGTGTAATGATTTAGACAACAATGTTTATTTTATGTATAAAAAGAGGCATCATGAGGACATCATAATCAAACACTTATAAAGTATACGGCGAATAGTAGAAGGTATATTATTATTATGAAAATTACTGCTTAAAACTAATATTGATTTAAAAACAAGCTGATGTGTTCTGATATTTGTTTACCGAGAAATAATATTAATTTGGTATTTTATAAGATAAATTACGAATTAGTCATTACAGTGTAAATAATTTCATGAAACATCAAAGTTAAATAAAACGTTCATAAATAAGATAATTATAACCAGCTCACCACAAATTAATTAAACTTCTCTTATTGCAAAAAAATTGTGGACTGAGAAATTTATAAAAAATACAATTATTGGGAAAATTGCAAACGATTTGGGAATAACGTTGTATGATAGGCTTCAAATATATTAACGAAAACTGCAATAAACAGAAAAATAATAGGGAAAATATATACAAAAAAAAATTATATATAAACAATGAATGTGATAGACTAAATTAAGCAAAACAATATTGAAATTTGACAACAAAGGGACACCAACATTTTTTGTTTTGGGAAACCATTCGGAAGCTGGGAGTAATGTTACGAAGCAATATCAGACCATAAATACAAGAATAAGTTCTCTATAATCAGAACAACATAAACAATAATATGTTGTTCTGATGATGGAAATTATTGCAATAAGGAATATAAAGCTTTGTATCGCTTTTTATTCCTCATGGCTCATTGATAGCACCCGAAGAAACTTTAACTTGACGTTGAACTTTAACACATTCGAGAATTTCGAATAATTCTTTATAAAACTTGTAAAATATGTACTTAACATTAAATAATAATGTAGAGTATGGTAGAAATATATTAAGAAGAAAAGAAAACATGTTGGAATAATTCACTCCTGAAAGGTGTAAACTGTGAGCTGAGACTAATTTTTATAAAATTGAATCCAATTTCACTGGATTAAAATTCACTATCCGTTAAGTCTAGCAAATACTTATAAACCGTCACGATTTTATCTACTTTCTTCACTATTTACCACGTCAAAATATTCGTTTACAATTTATCATTTCTTACTTCCTTAAATATAGATTATAAAACTAATTGTAATTTTATTTGAACTCTCATAAATAATCACTTTAATATTTACTTAAACTCATATCGTTATACACAAATACCAGCACAATATAGATTACTCCAAACACATGATAAACTGCAACGGCAACGGATGCCGACCAAAAATAAAAAGACCATTTGTATTAGAAACAAAACCTGTCTGTCTGCCCAGATTATTTCAGTATCCTGCAGACGCCCAAGTTCTTCAAGTGTTTAGGGTCAAGTTCGTATAAGTAACCGTGAGTATACGCATTAATAATACATCACTATCATCTCAAATAAAACATTTATTGTGATAGTGAGGACGCTAGTTCTCTTGGTATGTTTTCAAGTTTTGTATTTAAGGAAAAATTATTATATTTACAAATGGTTTATTATGGTTAATTTAATTTTTTTATATAGGTTTAATGTGTCTCGACAACTTGCTCATTATTTATCATCAAACTTATTTCAAATTTAAATTTTGTACTATTAATTTAGGATTTTCTGTGGGTTTCTTTTTACGTCGTCTTTTTATTTTGTCAGAAAAGTGTAGGTACTCTCTAAATATGTGATAAGTGAACTTTAAAATGTTACGATTAAAACGTAATGGTGGATTTCCACAAGACCAGTGATGTCATGGCAAAATTAGCAGTGCCGGAACGCACTTTCCTTAACTTTTTTACAAGCAAAATATTACTCAATTTTTTTTAATATAAGTTACGTCTGCATATTTTGAAATATGCAATATGCAATATGCATATTTCAATAATTGCAAATTGAAATATGCAATATGCATTTTGTAATAAACAAATGCTGTATAAGCATTTGTTAATTACAAAAATATTTAAATTCTGCAATTGTTGCCTAAAGACAACATAGCCTAATTTAAATGTTATAGACAAACGTAACCATTTATTGTAAAATTTAACCACACAATTATAATAGGAACATAGGAACAAGGGCGGTGTTTAAAATACAAAGGAAAGTGTTTCACATTTAATGAAAATTACAATGTCTGAACATATTTTTTTTAACTTTAAAATTGAGTTTATTTATTAAAAAGTTATTCAATTTACAAACACTGAAAAAATGGATTTTTTTTTTCTTCCGGAGAAGGTTTTTTCACAACGGGTTCCACATTTCACTCGTTTATACTTGGTATATGCTGTTTTATAAATATAAGGCTTGAAACATGTCTGGTTAAGAATCTAGTTCGCAAATCAGTCATTATCTCGCTTATGAGACTAAAACTTCGTTCACATTCTGACGAACTACATGGAATCGGTTTAGTGCAGTTCAACATCGAAATGAGATCTTTTGGTACTCTTGAAGGTGAATTGGCCTCGACATAACCTCGAAAGCAGTTTGATATTTTGGTGTTGTTAAGCTTAAACCTTTTGCAGAGATTTTGAATTTCTTCTTCCCCATATCCATCTTCTTCCCCATGATTTTCAGTTGGGTACTGATCAGTTTTCAGTGCTTTTAAATCAGATTGTTGCTTACAGTTTGAAAAGGCGCTTGCTATTGACTCATGACGGGACTTAGTAGTAAACATTCTTCTAGTTAAATTGTTTATTACACTTGTTATCATTTATTTGTGGTTGATGGTCGATATTTTTTGGATAGTTTGTAATAGGGGCATTGTTGAAATTACCGTACTTCTAAGCAATGTAAGTCTTAAGGCTTTTGGTTCCAGGCTTTTTTTTCAGAGTTTCAAAAAATTCAATTCTTCTGATCAATTTATCAGCATAAACAATAGTAGTTTCTCTGTTTTGCAGAGCCTCTGAAAGCATCGAAAATTCCACAAAAATTTCATACATAACGGCTTAATTTACCAGAAACTGTAATGATGAAAATTGCCTTAATAGGCCACAGTACATAGATCTGTCAGTAGAACTTTTTGTTCATTGTATGTCTTCGCCTTTTCAAAGTGGTTGTAAATGGAAAGTCTAAAAATATACAAAACACGTCAAATTTATTTGTGAATGGGACATTTTGTAGACTAGTGCTCAAATAAGTTACATCAACGCTCTAGCGGGGGCGGTCGCAACCCCTAAAATCTTTATTAGAAAAGGGGGTTGAGTGATACCATATTTTAAAGGTCATTCAACTACCTTTTCAAAAATACCACATACATTATATTTCTTATTAGCACTTTTGAAAAAATCAAGTAAAACTATAAAGATATTTAAGTATAAAATGTTTTGAAATAAAACATAAAAATTTAATGAAAAGTAACTTCCTAAGTAAAAGTACTTATGTATGTAAAAAAATAGACTAAGTTAGTAAAGTAAATGTTTGAAACGTTTTCTATTATTTTGTGAATAATGATAAATCCTGCTCTTAAACTCACTAACATTTTGAAAAACTTTAGGCTAAAGTTCCCTACACGCAGCTGTTATTCTTCCCTTTAAATGAGAGGTGTTAGCTCGGGTGATCATGGTGACCATTTTATTACTCCTTTTCGACCAATCCATCTGTCAGGAACTCTATCATTTAACCACTGCCTAACTTGAAGACATTACTGTGGTGGAGCTTCACCTTGTAAAAAGTGAATCAGATGTTCTTGCAAAATTGTGATACCAGCCGCATTAATTTGATTTTCCAAAGTAGTTGATATTAACTGGTCAGTTATTTTTTTAACTAGAACTCATCAGATAGATTTTCCTCAATCAAAAATGGTACAATAATAGTATTCCTAAGAATACCAGCCCAAAAGTTCACTTTCTCGGGATACTGTGCATACTTCTTCTTATAGTGCCGTGCACCTATAGTGAGTTGGCAAATTATCTTAAGGCCAGACATTTGTCTTTTGCTGCATGCAAATGATCGCCAGTGTTATTTATGCCTGTCCAGTTTATTATGTTCCGTAGCCACGACATTTGTTTGCGACCTACTCCTCTCTTGCCTTTAATCTTTCTCTTTATGATTAGTTGAGGGATTGCGTATTTTTTTTTTCTCTCAGAATAATTAAATTTTTCGTACCTTGATCAAATTGAATAGTTCTCTGCCAGCATTTGCCTTTCTTAATACATCGTCGTTTGTCACCTTATCTGTCCATGATATGCGGAACATTTTTCGCAACGTCCACATTTCGAAGGCCTCCAACCTATTAATGGAAGGTACTCTTAACTTCCATGTTTCCATGCCGTATAACAATATGGACCATACATAGCATTTAACCATCCTGTAGAGGAGATTGAAGAAAAGATTACGGTTACATTGTAGGGGTTTAAATTTGATAAAAGCTTGTCTTGCTTGTTCGGTACGGCATTTTATTGCTGGTTGAGGATCCCATTGGTCATTCATCATCATTCCCAAGTATTTTCTTATTGCCATGCATTTAGTTTTTCCAGCATTTATCTTCAAGCCATATATTTTTCCTACGATGTTTATTTTATTTAACATCAACTGCATATTATGTTCATTGTCTGTTATTATCGCGGTGTAACGAATGTTATTTATCGGAAACCCGTTTACCTTTATTCCACACTTAGAGCCTTCCAGTGCCTCTGCAAAAATGTTCTCCACATTGAGATTGGAGAGCATAGGAGACAAAAAACCCCTGTCGCACTCCTCTTAAAATTTCAAATTCTTCTGTGTTGGTTGATTTGTTCAGTCTAACTCGTGCTTTTTGATTCCAATAGTGATTATGGATAACTCCTATATCTTTCTCGTTAGCGTTGTGTGGCTTTTTTATCATTGCGTCATGTTTTACTGTGTAGAATGCTTTTTCTTAATCGAGGAATGTTATGACATTCCTTTCGTTGATCGATGCAGTTTTGTACAAGCGTATTCAAGCAGAAAGCTGCTCCACGTGTACCCAGTCCGCTCTTGAAACCAAATTGTGTCTCACCGCTTAGATCTTCCAGCTTTCTGAACATTCTTGTGTCAAGGATGCGAAGAAAAACCTTAAGCAAATGGATTATTAAACTTATCAGTCTGTAGTCTTTGCATTTTGTCGCTCTTTGTGATTTAGGGATCAGTATAAAGGTCGAATAAAGCAAACCCGTTGGAATGTAGCCATATGGCATTGAAAATTGTTACCAGCATGTCGATGTAACTGTGTATAATCTTCCCTAAAAAGTAGCGGATTTTTATCACTCCAGTAGCCACAATTTTGCGTGTTAACATGTCCATTAAGAAAAACATACACTCATCAATAAAGCAAATATTTTGGCTTGCAATTATTCATTCCGTCATTGTTTCGCAAAATTTAATCCTTCTGTCGAAATCATCTTCAAAAACCTGTTAAAACATTTGTATTTTATTCGTGTGAAATTTATATAACTTTAGTGCTTTTCTTACTGTTTCGTGAGACATTACTACTTGGCGTGTCAGATTGTAAAGTAAGGTAGAGGGTTATGCAGTAAAGGTGCCTAAAACTGCTATTTGTGCTACCTTATTATTTCTTTTTGTGTTTGTAATCTCAGGTTACGTGTTCTGAACATGGTACCTAATATCTTTATAGGGGGTTGATGTCATTTAGCTGAAAACTGGTCTACAAAATTTCTCCATCACAAATAAATGCGACGTATTTGTGCATATTTTTAGATTTTATTTGTGGACCACATTATAAAAGATACCTTTTCAAACTGACACAGTGTATAATAAGAAATCATTGCAAATAGTTATATCTTTTAATATTTTGGTTTATTGAAATTATTTCTAAGAGAAATACATATAGTTAACCTGTGTGTACAGTAGCTGCATTTTGATTCAAATAGAACGTCACCATTGTTCTACACGTGTTTCCAGTTATTCAACTCTCATCAGGATAAATAAGCCAAAAAACGTGTATAACAATGGCTGCATTCTAATTGAAAGAAAATGCAATTGTTTATTTTATTTATACTTTTTTTTTGTACGTAATGAGTGCAAAAGTGTCAAGCAAGCAATTTGATTGAACCCAGCCTATGAGAAATGTTCACCCAGGTAGTACGATCGGGTGTAACAATTCATTGGAGCAAGGTGTGTTAACTCGAGTAAAAATAGGAGTCACCCCACCGTGCTCCAATGCTCTAGAACTGCGTGCTCCATCCCTTTCCCCCCTATAGCAATCTGATTCGCTATAGAGGTACAAAAATTAGCCAAGTGCTCTTCATGTGGAGGTCCTGGGTAATAGAACCCCAACATGGTTTCCTAACTGAATGCAAAAACTCAGGACAGCGCATCTCCGCTATATTCCTGTTTATCTTAATGTGGCTTATCCGCGAACTAAAAATTGCTTACTTGGGCCTTAAGTCTCCGCTCTGAGTCCCGCTCAGTCGGCGACTTGGTGCTCAAGGGGTTGGGCCCTACGTGCCCGGGTTTTGGGTTTTTGTTAATTTTTTTGGTGGCCGAAACCGATTTTTGTTAGTATTTTTTTATGTTTTTGGTGGCCGAAGCCAGGTGCAAAAGTGTTTTCAAAGTCGATCTGTTATATATGTGTATTGTCAGAATAAAAGTGTATTCCTAGCATTGTCCAATAGCTTTCAGTAAGTTTTGATTTGCGGTTCAGCTATTTCGCTATTGACAATATATACAACAACGACAATAATATACAATTGACAATTTTTTTCATTATAAAATTTATGAAAGGTGCAGTATACTTGTTTTTCCTTGCAGTTTAAGTAAGCAGGATATAAGCCATTAACAAATGGTATTGTTTTTTAGCCTGAAATTTAATTTGATGGAATTTGTAGAAAGGTTTTTAGTGAGGTCTATTTTTATTTTCTTTATCGCAAACAGAAAATAAGAAAGTTGAGTGATTTCTTAAGAAATTTAAAATTTGCTTTTTTTTAAATACAAAAAGATGATTGGCTAAAATGAGAAGGTGGAAGGAGAATTTGGATAGATTTTAAAAGTGCGGAAGGATAAGTTATTTGTTTCTGAGCTAAGAAAGAAAGAACATCGAATACTGAAAGGAGATTGAGTGCCGGTAGTTGTAAATGGTTTAAAAAGTAATTGGTGAATAAAAGTTGAAAAATGGTAGCAGTTTTGATCTGTCAATGCTGATTGGGAGACATTGCAGTTCAAGTTTCGGCAGTATCGATTGTAAGTACAAACCAGTATTATTCATCAGAAGAATCAAAGACAAGGGGATTTTTGATAGACAAAAGAGATCAAAAGGATCAACAGGATATTTGAGGTAGATTCCGTGTAACTAGACCGAAGTAAGGAGTTTAGCTACAGCGTTTTTGATGAACAAATTAGGAATATTCCAGTATATTGGGTGGCTGGGTGGATCGTGTGACTAATGTTGAGGCCCTACGTAGAGTAGGCAAGGAATGCGAGATTATTAACACCATCAAAGAGCGCAAACTAGAATATCTTGGCCATGTTATGAGGAATGAACAGAGATACGGCTTGTTGCAACTCATTCTTCAGGGCAAGGTATTTGGAAAGAAAGGACCAGGGAGAAGAAGAATATCTTGGCTGCAAAACCTGAGAAAGTGGTTTAATACATCGACAACCGGACTATTTAGAATAGCAGCCAGCAAAGTTAGGATAGCCATGTTGGTCGCCAACATCCGGAACGGATAGGCACCGTAAGAAGAAGAAGCAGTATATTAG